GTTGTAGTATTATTCTCTACCTTCCACCAACATAAAAATAACATACCAACATTCTAGTAGCTGCTCAAAATGATAAATATATAATTATTGTACTCTTACTAGATATACACACAAAAGAAAAATGAAAATACATATCCATGAAAACTTGTACATGTATGTTCATAGCAACAAAATTCTATATTGTTGAGTAGTTTTCAAAAAGTAGGGAGCAGCTGGAGATGTCGCTCAGTAGTAGAGCTCTTGCTTTGATGCACAAGAGCCTGTATTCAATCCCCAGCACTTCTAGTAACCCAGCCTTCTTCTCCTTCATCCACACTTCACCTCCCAACATCACACTTGGCTATAAATCCAACTTGCTTTACTCTCTTGGGCTCAAGTAATCCTTTGCCTCAGCCTCCCAAAAGAGCATCTCTTACTGCACTAGGCAACAGCATTACTTCTACTAGCTTGGACTCATAGTGATCCTCCTCTTTTGCGCCTCACCAGCACTGAGATTACAGGCGTGTGCTACCATGCCTGGATCTGGTTACCAGCTTAATGCACCTGGGGGTGAGAATGGTGTGGCATGTGGGACCAGGAATCAAACGCCAGTCCCTGAGCTTGCCTAAGCAGGGGCTTAGTCTACTGAGCTATCTCACTGGCTCAGATAATATTTTTTTAATGATGAATTTCTTACAATGAAAACTGTATGGTTTTGCAAGATATTTTCTTATTAAAATCAAAAACCTTGATTTTTAACTAAGCATACACTGAAATATTGAGAAATAAATGAGTATGTCTGCTACCACACTTAAATGGCATCAGTAAGATTTTAAATGTACACATCCACATATGTAAATTCATACATCTATGTATGTGCATGGAGAGAGGAAAAAATCTGAACTAGTGAGAATCCTCAGCTAGTCATGATATTTGAAATTACATAAAAACAAAGATACAGAAAGCAGATTATAAAAAAATTATGAGCAAGCGCAAGGATCTGAGTTCAATCCCTGGTTCCACCAAAAAAAAAAAAAAAAATTATGAAAAGAGATTGATGCCAATTTTTTTTTTTTTAAAGATTGTTTTGCTTTGTAATTTAGGCTGGCATTGAACTCATGGAGATTTTCCTGCCTCAGCCTCTCAACTCTTGGGATTATAGGGGTATGTCAACACACCCAGGTGATACTGATAATTTATTTATTTTATTTATTTATTCTTTATGTATTTAGTACAGGGTCTACAGGGTTTCACTACACAGACTCATAGGGATTTTCCTGTTTTCAGCCTCCCAAGAGCTGGGATTACAGGCAGAAGCCGCCATGTCTTAATGGCCCTCTCAGCAAGCCAGGGGGTGGGGGTGGGGGCAGAGCTGGCACGGTACTCTGGGGATCAAACCCTGGCCCCTGCAACTGCCTAAGCAGGCACTTTAATCTGCTGAGCTACCTGGCTAGCCCTTGATAATTTAATATACTTTCATTTAACATGACACCACTCTAAACATCAAACATATATCACACAGACTATACAAATATTTTACAAGGCCTACTTGCTATTCATCTACCCTAACACAAACCAATTTTAAAAAGCCATCAACATATTTCTGAACTACGTGAAATTTTAATTAATGTCTTTCCATGATATATGAAGCCAACTAATCAATTATTTCCTTGCAGATTAAATGATAATCTTTACACAATTTCGATAATTAGAAATTAGTCAGAATTGGGTTCCTTAAAAAAAAAAATTAAAAAAAAAAAAGAATTGGGTTCCTTGAAATTGATTCTCTAATTAGCATTAAAACTGTAACATAGTTTAATGCTACCACCTAAAGAGTTTGTTCTTTCTCTTACACCTAAAGCTGATTCATTTAAAAGAAGGAACACTTACTTACCTGCAGTTCAGCCAACAGAATTATACAACAATCTATGGTCACAAAAGTACCCAATAGCCATGAGGTAGACGAATACTGTCAAGATCAAGATATATTTCCTTTAAACAATGTATTTCCTTTTAACTTCCTTTGGAAATTGTGCAATAGTGTTCATCACTCTCAGATGACAGGTTTTTCCAAAACTTTATATAAAATATTTTATGTTTGTATCTTTCATATAAACTTTTGTTTCCAAACTCCCAGAGAACTGTTTCCTTTTACAAAATAGTCACTCTGCCAACTACATTTTCTCCTAAAACAGACACTTTGAAATTGGCTACAATATATGCAGTGTAACTTCTGTTGATTTTCCCTACATATATAATTAACGTTTTGATAGCTCCATATGGTCTGATACTTTCAAATCTGTCCTAAGGTTTCTCAACATCTTTTATTTTCTTTACTAAGAAAATAACACTGGAGCAGAGAGTTAACTACTCTCTCCCTCACAATTGTAAAAACCTGGAACAGTGTTCCATAAACCTCTAAGTATGGTCCCTTCTGAATAAAGGCTGCTTTACTATCTTAAAAAAAAAAAAAAGTCCAGGGATAGATCTCAGCAAAATAAGCACCTGCCTGGCAAGCACAAGGTCCTGATTTTGATCCCTGGTGCCACAAAAAGGGGGGTAAGAGGGGTGGCAAAAATAATGTTGCAACACTCAACAAGGAAATTTTTAAAAAGCAAAGATAAGAAAATATATGTCTTTTAATCCTTCAAAATTAAGTTAATACACTGAAGATTTTAAAAAAGTGCTTATTAAGAGAAATACAAATAGACAAGCCATCCATAGTGGCTGGCTCACACCTGTAATCCCACAACTGGGGAGGATAAGGCAGGTTGCTGTGAGTTCAAGGCCAGCTTGGGCTACAAAGCAAGACCCTGACTCAAAAAAAACGAACAGAACAGAACAGACAAAAGGAGAAAGTGATTAACCTTATGGTGAGCTTCTCACTGTGACCGCCCTCAGGAAAAAATAATGGAAATCTCACAAGCTGAGAGTCAGAGACTCACTTTACCACACAACCTTTTACAGTTGGTTTGCTACTACATAAATATAATTACCTTTTAAATTTTACCAGCTACAGTTAAATTTTATGTCTGCAAATATTAGTAGTTCTTGGCTCTGTTGGAAAAAAGATTCACCTGATTCTAAACCCTCAATATGATCCAGCATCTATTTCTTATTTCCTTATTATCAGTCTTTCTCTGCTAAATAGATACCTTGCCAGAGCCCTAAGAAAGGGCTGATTAAAGATACCCAGAACAGGTACATTAAACTTTCTCTATCATACAGAAGAATATTAGATCCAGAAAGAGCATGAGAGCTGGCTATATGGTGAACTACTTCATTCAAGGACACTATTAAGAACTCCATAAACAGTACCTATCTCTGAGTGTTTAAAACACATTGTTTCATTTAACTCAAACAATAATCTACATCTTCTTTTTGCACCAGGAAAAATTATAATGGAAAAAGGTTCATAAATTTACCTAAGATCAGCTGAGGCTTGAAACCAGGTTTGTCTGACTTAAGTATGATCAATTAGTTATTATACTACTGCTCGATGCTATTAACAGGCCGATGCTCTAGAATAGCAAATCATAAACCTTAAAGAACTATTTTTTCTTCTTTTCTTTCTTTCTTTTTAAAAATTTTTTAGGTTTTTTTTGTAGTTGTTTTTTGACTGAGGTTTATTTTTTGTTTTAGTTGCCGAGGACTGAACCCAGGGCTTCCAGCTTGCCAGGCAAGCATTCTACCATTGAGCTAAACCCCCAGCCCCAGAACTATTTTCTAAAATACAAATTTTTCCAGTTTAGCAGCTGATTTTTAAAAAGCAAATATTTATACATATCTGTAAGCTTTTTAAACTTATTCTGTATATTAATAATTTTCTAAAACCAAAATTTTCATCTTTTTATATTTGTAAAAGGCCTTTGATGATAAATATTTTACCAACTTACTCTCTATGCTTGAAAAACATCTATGAAGATTATATACTCCAAACTAACTTGAAGTCAGTCAAAAGAATTCTATGTAATTATATGTCCAAAGAAAAAATGGTTACATTTTCATAAAAACGCATTTCCCTTTTTCCCCCTAAGGAAAACCAGTCTTCCTAAATTAACAATAGTCCATTAGCTGCTAAATGTGTACAACTATTTAACCATCATCTACAAAGCAGTAAGTAGAATTTAAATCTATCTAGTATACTTCACTATGACACCCCATTTCTTAAAAAGAAAACAAAACACACACACACACACACACACACACACACACACAATACTTTGCAAAACATGTAGATATAAATAAAATGATTTGAGCCATAATTAAGTCATCTGTGAAAATCACTACAAGTAACTGATCAGTTGTTAAAAGGATATAATTTGGAGGAAGAAAGTTCCAGCTCAAGACTTGGTTGGCGAGTGCAAGGTAACGCTGAAACACTGAGGACATTTGTGCATTGAGGTTCTCCCGCCTGCTGAATTCCTGCAGAACTTCAACAGTCAACATGAAGATCTGACGAAGGTCTTCTTCCTAACATCAATCAATCACAAATATTTTCACATTGAAAATTTATCCACAATATATTCTCATTAAGAAACATAAAACCATTGCCTGGCAAGTGCAAGGGCCTGAGTTCAATCCCGGGTTCCACCAAAAAAAGAAAAAAAAAAGAAACATAAAACCAAACAAACAAGAACCTTAACATTTCCACTGGCAAATACTATTTCCTTAGGAATATTTTCCATCTCAAGCCCTCTACTGAAAATTTACATCACAATCTGCTTTCAAGTGACACTATTAACTGTATTACAAATGCTACTCCATGGAAAAGAAAGTCTTTGGCAGAACTGCAGAGCCACAGGAGTCAGTTGTTATAGAGCAGAGCTCTGGGATTTAAATCAATGCCTTCACATAGCTTTACTCCAGAGCCAAACAATACACATGAGAGACAAAGCGTCCACACCATCTGCAATAACATTTTAATACATGGCCTTCTTTGGCATTCTGCCAGTCCTATTTTTAAGCTAGCAAAATCCTATCAATTGAGCTATATCTAAACATGAAAATAAGAAATTATGAGCTCTTTATCATAATAATTCTTTGTTTCAGACCAGAATTAAGCAAATAATCTTAAACTGTCTACTACATTCACCAACCTTATCACTTTGCTATATTCTATAAAATCACAAAACAAATCCTCAGAAACAAGCTATTACTCAACTACATGAAAGAGTTCTCAGCTATTAAGAATAGATTTAATTAAAAGTAGATGGTCTAATAATTAAAACACATGAGGGCTCAGGAGATAGCTCAGTGGCATAAGCACCTACCTGGCAAGCACAAGGTCCTGAGTTTGATCCCCAGTACAAAAAACAAACAAATCAACCCCACAAGAACAAAAGCACCCATACCTGAAAGACTCTTTTGCAGTTACCATGGAATTCCATACTCAGTCCAATGTTGCTAGTCTTACTTGAACTTGAGAACTCACTCAATAATGCAGTTAGAATAGAACAGGCCAGTGTTTGCTGTATTTAACAAGAAATAATTGTAAGACATTATTTTTTTCAAAGCTTTGTTCAACACAAGATGTCCTAACACAATGGAACTTTTTTTTTTTTCTATATTTGGAACATTGTCTACAGGGTCTACAGGGTCTCACTATGTAGACTGGACTTGCACTGAGTTGCCTGTTTTTAGCCTCCCAAGCGCTGGGATTAGACATGCAGCCATCACACCCAGTCTTCATTTTCTATCTATAGATTGTTTATAATTTCTTTAGATAGATAGCTACCTGTCAGAAAGCTAGAAATAACAAAATCAAGGCTACCTTTCCTTTTTTTTTTTCTTTTTCCACAGCATCTCACTCTGCAGTTAGGGCTGGCCTTGAACTCACTTTGTAGCTCAGGCTGGCTTTGAATTTGCAACAATCCTCCTGTATCAGTCTCTGGATGCTGGGATTACAGGCATATGCCACCACAACCATCTAGCTTTCCTTTACAAGTGGTCTCGCAAGTGCTAATAATAATACTTCTCAAATTCACTTATTCATTGAGGATATAAACTCAAGACACATTTCTACTTGATCACAAAATTTAAATGATGTTAAAAAAAATCAATGTTGAATGCCTTAGTTCATTTACATAAAACAATCTATACCCCTACCTTACATGTGAAAGGCACAAGACTTGGAAAGGTTAAATGATCAACTAAGGCTAGGTGAGATTTAAATCTAGGTCTGTCTGATTCCTATGTTCTGATGTTTATAAAATTCATTTCCAGATGAACAAGAAACAATTTATGGTCTCCAAAGTAAGTGGATATACCCCAAATATTTTAAAAATAATAAAGATTCCCATGCAACTGGTTCTGTTCAGTAGGCTTATCAACTCACTAACATTACTAGGCAATTTAGAGTCAAGGTACCAAAGATGGAGATAAGGATACAAATTATTTTGGCAAACTTCCAGGGGTTAAAAAGAAATATGCACACTACCTCTGAACAACCGAAAGATTAAAGTCAAGATGATACTATTTCTGCAAGCTTATACAACAGCTGAACACAGTCAAACCCACCCACCAACTGCAACATCTTTGTTCAGAAATGCTTCTGATGTTAGTTAGTACCTTGACCTTACAGATGCTTATCTTGGCAAATCTTAGCAAATATACATAAAGTTAAGTTCCTCAATATTGGTGTGACTTGGTATTTGTTGAAGATAAAGTAATGTTTAGATGGGTGAGCAATATCTATTTATCTACCTTTTTACTTATCTGAAATTTTCCTTTAAAAATATATTAAAAATTCTTATTCACCTCTTAATCTCAAAATAAGCATAACTGCATAACCAATATTTTATGGCGTGTGTGCGTGTGCACCCACATGCGTGTGTCCCCACTCATGCGTGCGCGCACACGCATGCGCGCACACACACACACACACACACACACACCTCCCACATTAAAGCAGTTTCCCAGACTTTTCCATACTACTAGGAAGTAAATGCCAAATTCCCTGGGGAATCTGGTGGTATCAATCAATGAAGACTAGCTGGGGATATAGCTCAGCGGCATGGTGGTGCCTGCCTGGCAAGAGTGAGGTCTTGAGTTGGCATCCCAGTACCAAAAACATAAAAATCAATGGAGACTTCAACAATCAAAAAAAGCTCTTTAAATGTTCATACTCTTGCTTAAATACAAACATTTTGGTTTTGCTTGTTTGGACGGTGTTAGAGATCCAAGCCAAGAAACTTGTGCCTGTTAGGTAAGGCCTCTATCATTGAGTTACATACATCATTAGCCTCTCATGCCTTATAATTTTAATTCAAAGTATACATTCACTTTAATATAAGAATTCCCATCCTGTACAAATCATCAAGGAAAGTGTGCCTGTTTAACTTCATTTTCATGGCCCGGGAAAAAACTGGACCTGAGAAATCAAATGCTTCTCATAAAGAACAGGTTATCACATACTTTATTTTACAGTTTAAAGGAATTGTAGAAAATTTTTAAATAAAAAATACCTTCATTTTTTAATGAACGAAAAGGGATGGCTTTCTTTTTAAAATAGTGATTAATGATTAAAGTACTAGGAATCAACACTTCATAGATTAAATAATATCTGATCAATTGTATACAGATTTTAAAATATAGTTAGGCTTTGATGAGAAAAGCAGGCATTAAATAAAAAAATAAGCTGGCCTCTGATCAAACTAATATTCCATTCAGAAACTCGCAAAAGTCTAACAAATGAATTCAGAATCGTATAATCCTGAAGACAAGTTTTAGTGTCCTATATAAATCTTAATCTTAGGTTTTCACCTATCCCTTTAAAACAAAATTTTAGTTAATAGGACATATTAACAGATGCTTAAATGTTTGAGAAAATTTGTCTTACTGAAAAAAATTAATTTCAGAATCTCAGCCAAGAGAGAATACTGAAAGAATTCACTTACAACTTACTTAAAAACATCAAAGCTAGAAATCCAGGAGCACTTACTAAATAAAAAATGTTATGATCTATGATAATCTCCGCCAAGTAATTTACAACATGCACAAAATGGTATATTTTCAGATTACTATACTTGGAATTTCATCAAAATGTCTAGTCAATTATTACAACATGTACTAACAATAGATATTTACTTTCAAGTGAAATGAATATTTTCTAACATTATATCCATGTATTTACCCTCAAGATGTGAAAATATGAGTAGAAAAGGGTCAAGTCAAAGACAGCTGAGAGCCTCAATCAAGTTACAGTGGCTCAGAACAAGGAAGGATTTTTAAAGTCTCTATTAACTACAAACTCCAGAAAAGAGCCCCCGCTGTTAGAACTGCTTTTAAGTTGCAGCAATACATATAAATCCCTGTGAGAGCATATTTTCTCTGAATAACTAAATTGAAAACAATATGTAATGTAACAACCATTGCTGCATTCCTATTATTGTTTAGAGAAATTCTGTATTGTTTCTAATTTATTTTTACTATTTTTTATTTTCTTTCAAAAAATGAAAGTTTTTTAAAGCATTTATTTTCATCCATAAAAGCAAGTATATTTTTAATACATGAGAAACAGGAACAAAATATATCAATTATAAACTTAGATTCCTGAATATAATTATTTGTTCTTAACTTATCCTACAAATTAATACAGTATATATTTCTCTTACAAAAACTCAAAGGCACAGAAAAGAACAAGGAAAATGAAACTACCTACAATCCTATGATCTAGGAGTTAATCTTATATCAATTATACATAGCTTTCCAAATTCTTAATGCATATAGACATAGAGATGCCATTATCAATCCATGCTTTTTATATATTGCTTTTTATAGTTTACACTGATGAAATAAAGAGTAATCTTTAAAAACAAATGTTTTCTTTCAAATATACCACTTATGTAAGTTGCTACACAGCATACAGAAATCTTATTGTTTTTATCCATACCTAAAATTATCTTTCAAAGAATAAAACTTTAGTGAAATATTCTGTAAAGATATGAGTTAGCACGATAAACACTAATTCTGCTATACTGACTCAAAGGTGCCAGATGAATAGCGACTCATTCACTGAAGAAAGATGAGTACTTAAGCAGACTGTACATTCAGAGAGAAAAGCACCGACAACAACCAAGTACTTTTTCTATTCACAAGAAAATTAACATACCACAACATGTCTAAGACTCGTTCCCAAGCACTCGCTTGCAGTATTTGTCCTTAAGTCCCCTTATGACACGGCACTGTAATGAAGACAGCTGGGTAGGAGAGCCAAAGATCCAAAGGGAGAAACAGGGTGGGAAAAGGAAAGTGGGATCAAACCTGCCTAGTGGAGGCTACAAGCTGTGAGGCTTGCTTACTGTTACGGAAGGTCCCTAATCTCCTGGCTTCAGCTTCTAAGGTCTCAGCAGACACCTCCACTGCATCTCCTTCCATCTCCTAATAACCAGCACTGCACTTGCAGGTGCTGCCTCTCTGCCCTATGTCAGAGGCAGAGCTAGAAATTATTGTAGACAATTTCAGTTAAAGTTAACTGACTGATCAAGAAGTAATATGAAGCTGAGTGTGGTGGCACATGCCTGTAACCCCAGTGCTTGGGAGGCTGAGGCAAGAGGACTGCTGTGAGTTTAAGGCCAGCTGGGGACACAATGAGAAGCTGTCTCAAAAACAAAACAGAACAAAACAAAGCAATATGAGGTTGTCATTATACACTTATTGACCAATTTAAAAAATTAGTCAAAAAAAATCAATGCTTGATTTATCAAAGATCGAAGAAATCAAGTTAATAAAAACCTAATAAATCTTCCTGTATACTTTTCTAAAATAATTATTTCTATAGCAATTATTATATGATGTTAGGATAAAGTAACTACTTGGGAGCTAATAAAGTATATGGAGGCAGGGCAGGGGCTCAGTGACGCAGTGCCTTCCCAGCGAGTGTGAGGTCCTGAGTTCAATTCCTGGCACCAAAGGAAAAAAAGAAAAGTATATGGGACCTTACACCCTTTGATAAAGTGGCACCAGACTGCAATACTTTATTGTTTATGCCTGCTTCAGCTTTTCTAAATCACCCTTCATACTTACCTATACACATTGCCAGTGGCAATTTGCCTATCCCTAATAGTTCTATACCTAAAATATAAGTAACAACTCTCTGCAGGACTCTTTAGAATCCAGTGTAACAATTCTATTCTTTAGACCAAGAAGCCAGAAAACGTGGGTTCTAACGAGCCAAGATTTCCCACTTCAAAGAACCAGACAAAGCAATTCATTTATCATGGCCTCAGCTATCTCACCTACAAAATGGGCTGCTACCCTATGCTTGCTACCCTATGCTTTGCCTAATTCACATGCCTCCCCTAGGCCTGTTCATTAAATACTGCATGCAAACATACTATGTTAATATAGCAGGTTATAGTAACATAAGGTAGAAATATTTTTCTTTTCTCTCTGTCTCTCTCTTTCTTCTTTTTGAAACAAGGTCTTGCTATGCAGCCCAGGCTGGTCTTCAACTTGAAACAATCCTCCT